GAGTCCCGAGCTGGCGAGGCTGCTCCTCGCGGCACCCTGGAGCGCCGCGTCTTCAGCAGCACCAGTCGCCGCCGTCCTCCTGGTGAGGTGCAGGTGGCTTTGAAGCTGCCAGGGCCCAGGGCTGGCTGCCTCGGATAGCTTTTGACATTTCTGTTTAATCCGACTTCTGCAGCCCGTGGAAGTCTCTGCGCTCACTTCTTCCCGAGCCTGTCTTACGCCAGCGCCGCCTGCCCAAGGGCACGGCCCCACAGGGCTGGGCGAGGCTGCGAGGTCAACGTCCTTGCGCCCAGATGGGTCCACTTTAAGCCCTTCTTCCTCCGAGCCCACGCTCACGCTGGAAGCCGGTGATGTGGCTGCTTGTGTGGTCGCCTGAGCTGTGCCCCGAGCGTCGCGCCGCGCGGCTGGAGGCTGCAGCCGCTCCTGCCCGGCGCGCCCTTGCTACAGCCCCAGATCTGCGAAAGTTAGGGGTGGGCTGTACTTTCTGGCTGGCGAAGGCATCCCGCCTGGTCCCTTACCCTGCTTTCTGCCAAGTAAGACCCTTCTCTGTCCTATGCTTTCTCTCCGGTCTTCCACCCTGCGCTGGGCCCGGGCCGCCGCGCGGCTGGAGGCTGCAGCCGCTCCTGCCCGGCGCGCCCTTGCTACAGCCCCAGATCTGCGAAAGTTAGGGGTGGGCTGTACTTTCTGGCTGGCGAAGGCATCCCGCCTGGTCCCTTACCCTGCTTTCTGCCAAGTAAGACCCTTCTCTGTCCTATGCTTTCTCTCCGGTCTTCCACCCTGCGCTGGGCCCGGGCGCTCAGGGTGGTTCTGCCCCCCGGAACGTGCGAGGCGCTCAGTTCCGGACCTCGGGGTCAGAGCTGGGTCTGCTGCCCCAGGATCGCGTGGAAAGCAACACTGTTTCCGGCCATACAGCTGGACTACAGGGGACGTCAGGACAGCTCCACGCGCGGCACTTTCTTTCCAGAGAGTAACCAAATCAACCGTCTTTTCCGAGGTGCGGTTCAAGGCCAGAGCAACCTTCTGGGGGTGGGAACCAGAGCGGCAGGTGGAACAGATCGCACTCCCGGTGTCTGACCTCTTGTTGGGAGAAAGGGAAGCGAGCAGCCCTGGAGACAAATACTCTCTCTTCCCCTTTCGCAGAGGTGCGATTCAACTTCACACCTGGATTCTTTCAAGACCTGACCCAGACCCTTTTTTCTGACTTCCCCGTGGGGCTCGCCAGCCTCTCGCCCCGACATCCGAAGGTGAACAAGTGGTGATTTCAGAGTCTGCCACGCGTTTGGCTCCTGGGAATGTGCGTATAGGGGGAGGGTCTTTTCTTTGCTAAATCAGTGGAGGACTCCCTGGTGGGCCACAGACCTCTCAAAAAATCAGATGATGCCGAAGAAAATACCCGACGGGGGTACAGCCCAAAGGTTCCCTGCAATTCAAGGGAATCCCAGGTTCTATAGCTCGGGACCCAGGAAATCTCAAATTCCAAACACCTTCCAGAAAGGACGCGCTATATGCCCTATATTCGTGGGGAGGGGCACACGTGACTGGCTCTGCGACTGCTGGCGGCCCCAGCGCTGGTCACCCAGGACCCCTTCTCTGGGAGCCCTAGCTAAAGTCGTGCACCTTGGTGAGGTTCAGGGCGCCCAGGCTCTGGGATGCTGGATGAGACCGGAGCCGCTCTCTTCTTATCGCCAACGCAGTTGTACAGTGCCCCCTTGCGTCAGTGCCTGGGAATTTTGAGGCGTTGTCCAGGTGCTCCGGTCGTTCAGAGCCAAGAAAGTGAGCTTTATGACTTTCCATTTGCTCCCTGCCACCTTTTCAAAGTAGAAATGTCTATATCACGATTGTCTCTAACTCAACGCGCCCTCATGAAGTCTTTTGATATGATACTTAAAAAGAAAATGTTCCTGTAGTTTGAATTATGCTGCTATGAAACAACGTATAAGCAATATTTATTGAAAATCAGTAGTAGGCCACATACCTATACATCTAGATCTATATACCTATTTATCTATCTATATATCTACTTATCTATCTGCATATATAAGCACTATATTATCCAATATCTTACAGAAGGAGGAACTGAGACACCACAGCACTATTTTGCCCTATCTCAGCAGAGCAAGAGTAAGAACTATAATGAAGTAATTCAAGGCCACTTCCCAATTATCCTCCACAGTTTCCAGTGTGTACTGTGTAATACACAGAAAGTTCTCCCTTTATAGATGGAGGGTCTTCAAACTCAAGGGTTTTCCCACGTTTTTGTCTTTCCCAAGTTGTGTGAAAAGTCCAACAGTACTATTTAATAGTTCTTTACTTTCTTATACATGGCCTCTTCCCCTCGGGGAGCTTGAGGCCATTCATTTTGTCTCATTAATCTTCAGGAGAGGCAGTAAGTATTTTTATTTCCATTTTACAATGAGAGAAACTGGTTCGGAAGAAGATAAATGACTTGCCCAAGGTCATATAGTAAATCAAGACAGAGACATGAACAAGCCTGTCTTGTCAGAGTGTCTCCCAACAGGCAGCACTACCTTCCTTTATTTATTGCAGAGAACCATCCTATTAGGAAATAAAGCATCCTGTGCTCTCTGAAGGGGAAGCCTCTTATAAATTAATCATTTGTTAATCTGTCATAAATAAAAACCTACTTTTGGCCTCTCGAGGAAACTTGCTATCTAGAGACTTCTCTAGTCTGAGTGATAGAGACTTTTCTTGTCCAGATTCCCCTTCCTACTTCTCTTGTACACATCTCCCTCACTTGCTCAAGTCTTCTATGTGTGAACCCCAGGCCTTCTGTCTTTCTCCTGCTGGCCTTAGAATTTGGAACCTCTTCATAAATTTCAATCTAGAGGCTACAATGTCTAATCACAAATGCAGGACAGCTTGTGTCTCTATTTCCCGTAGAGACACATGGCTGAAATCCACAGTAAACACAGGCAAAAACAATGATAGGCTAATTTTAAGATTCAGAACTGCAGAGTTTTAGAGCTGGAAGGCCATTCCATATTGTCTCTAGCATCCAAATTTACATAGAGGAAGCAGAGGCCCAAGAAAGCCAAGTTACGTACCCAAGGTCTCGTGACCAGTGGGACAGGATTAAGACAAGAACCCAGTCTGGTCCTCACCTTGCTCTTCGAGGTGCCCTGCATTACCTTATCTTTGCCATGAGTGCCTCCCTGCCATCAAACTCATTCATTTACTCCTCATATGTTCATTAAGCAGACACTGCAAGTCCAGGCACTGAAGCACAAAGAGAAGAGTTCTTCATTAATCGGAACTGGAGAGATTTCAGCACTGAAATATATAAAGAATAAACTGGACCAGGGATTTGGCTTAATGGTTCTTCCACCTGCCTTATAAGTGCAAGGGCCAGAGTTTGATTAAGGGCCAGTAAAAAAAAAAAAAAAAAGAAAAAGGAAAGAAAGAAAGAAAGAAAGAAAGAAAGAAAGAAAGAAAGAAAGAAAAGAAAAGAAAAGAATAAACTGATAGCTTTTTTATATGTTAAAGAATTGGGAAGATTACAAAGGTACAAAGATAATATTTTCTTTTATTTTTATTATTATTCAAATTCTGTAAATCATAATATTAGGCAAAATTTGAAACTGAACTTTATTTAACATCTAGATAAAATTGTGCATTAAAAAATAACTGGCTATTGTGGCCCTAGACACAACCTTAAAACACCAAATTAATTTACCCAGCACACACGGTTGTACATAAATAATTGTATAAGATATGCTCAAATGATAATGCTTCGTTGAAGTTTTTCTCTTTAAATGAAAAATTTCAAAATGTTTACCACGCCAATTACTATTGAGTATGATTGGGATCAGACTTCTTTTGACAGAAAGAACCCCTTCCTCACCTACTGAAAAGCACTGGAAAAACAGCTTGTGGAGAAAGTTTCTTTCTCAGCACTATTTCAGCACTTTCTTGTGTTGATAGTAACTATGACAAAATGTAAAGTTAACAATGACCCTCTCTGTGTAATTAATTAATGATAATTATATGCAAGTTTTAAATTCTAAGTATCAAAAAACAGCTTTTCTGCTTTGCTCAGTGACTCGATTTAATGTTACAGAGTGAAAAATAATTTGTTTTGAAATTTTCTTGGTACCACATAAGGTTTCATACTATTTATTTAAAAGATAAATGTTCACACCTAGTGTGTATAAAAATTAAATTCCATTAACATCTATTAAACATCAGTTCCCAGGGTGTCTAGCCTTGTAAAAGTCAAGGATATACAATATTGATCGTGAACTACTACATGCCTCACCTCTCTTAACCATGAGCTACAAAGCATCAAGAAAGAACATGTGTCATAGGAGGAAACAGGAATAATGGTTTGAGTGATGGAAGAGACAATCTGTTCTCCAGTGGCTGGGAGTGAGGCATGGGGTTGGCACCTTAATTAGGGGCAAGGCAGGTGGGGGTGTCTGTTAATATGCCTGAGCTGTAGACATTATATTTGTGTGTGACAACACATACATGAAAGAAGGGGAGACAAGGAGCAGTAGGGAGTACCAGCAGGATGCCATTAGATTATTCATTGCTGTTATAACAGGCTTTTCTTTCTTTAAAGAAACAAAGGGAATAAAATGAATGTTCTAGAAGTCATAGACTTGGAGGTCACTAATAGAAACAGTGCCAAGAAAGATGATGTATTAGTGGAAAAAAAAAAAGGAAGGAGATCCATTTGAAAACTTTTATCATCTTGTCTCTAATAATCTCCAGAAGTTCTATGCCTTGATATGCACCCAAGAGAAGGCATAGATGAATCCAGTGTTTCCTGGAGGTAAAACAAAATGGTCATTGGTGCAATGTTTTATTAGATAAAAATAGATAACTCTTGGAAGTAACTCTTTCATTCTTTATTTTAAGTCAAAAAAGTCACTTTAGCATGTAAGAGACAGGTTGTGTAACCTTATACAAGTGAAATGATATTGATAAAAGCTATTTCAGACATACAAGTTACTTATATGTATGCAACAGTGAAATCACTTGATTTGTGACCATTTGTCCCACTTGAATAAACAATAATCATTCCCATCTAAAGTTTTCTGGTCACAAATCTGCATAAGACCTGTCACAGGATCATGTGTTTCAGATCCACAGAGATATGGAAGTGAAGGGGCTCTAAATTAATTTAAGCTCTTAGAAAAAACAAGGAATAAAATACAAGGCAGGACTTCTACATAGAAAAGGAATATTTAAACAGCCATATTTCATTAATCTGCTTCCTGTCACTATAACAAAATACTTGACATTATTTATAAAGAGAAAAAGCTTTATTTTGACTAACAGTTTTGGAGATTTCAGTCTAAGATTGTACAGGCCCATTGCTTTGGACCTCCAGTAGATGTGCCAGATGATAATTGAAAGAAGCATACAGTGGAAAAAACCACCCACCTTAAAGCCAGGAAGCAAAGAGAAAGAAGAAAAGCTTGGAGTCCCACGTTCTTCTAGAGGGAATATCGTCCATAACCTGTGGTTCTCCTACAGGGTTCCTTCTCCTGAAGGTCCATAGCGTCTCCCAACAGTACACTGGAGACCATGACTTTAACACTTAGGCCTTTGCGTGGTCATTCAACATCCAAATTATGGCACACAGAAAGGGACCTAAAACTATAATGGTCTTAGAGTAGCAAACGAATGATCCAATTCATCAAATAATCTGACTAACATAAACTGTATTGTATCATAATTTTTAAAATGATTTACATAAATAAAAGATCTACTAAAATCATATTGGCATCCTTCTTAATAATTCAGAAGACAATGTTCCTGGTCAGGATTATGAGTAACCAATTACTCTATTAAAAAAGCATCAGTGTGATGCTAAAGAGACAAGAAAAAGTCAACTATCCTGATAAGTTTCCAGAGAACCCAATTTACATTCTGATCAAATCACCTTAACAAAGCCTACCACCCCGAAAATGGTGTAAGAAAGAAAATCACAGGATTCAAAAATCTTTTTCCAAAGCCTGAGATCAGTGGTGTAGACAGATGGGCAACGAAAATTTACAAGCCACTGACTGGGGACAGAGAGACATAAATTTAAGCTAAAAAAGAAGTAAAGAAATGAGCACAAAAGCTATATTAAAGGAAGATTTGCTTCCATAAGTCTTATTGCATTCATTTAATTCTATTCCTGGAAATAATAGAAAATGACCTAAGGCAATTTCTTTTTCTTTCCAGAAAAAAACCTGAAAGATTATGCTTTTGATTGGTAAAAGGAAGGTGGGAATAACTTATGAAAATCACCGTGAAGGATTTATAAAATATAAAAGCTATAAAGTAGTTCTTCTGAAAAGAGAAATTTAAGATCCTTGCAGAAAACCATTTCTCAAGAAGTTCCATAAGATTAATAAAGAATTTACATTTCTTTGACAAAAAACTTAAGGTGTGCATTGAAATAGAAATCTAGTGAAGAAGATACCAGATGATAAATAAAAACACAATGATAAATTATATAACCTTTCAGGAATTTATGTTTCTATATAATCTCGATCCTCGTGGAATTGCTCAGTAAAGCAGGTTTCACTGAAACAAATAGCATCAACATGAGTGTGTGGTGGAAAGGTACAGGATTAGGCCTTTCTTTAAAACATATATAGCCCCAAGTAGAAAATATACACAGTTTCTATACTTTCAGAGGCACTCTTATGTGTTATGATGAGCCAAGGGATTTAGCTGATTTTTTAAAAGAGCCTTGTGTAGTACAGAGCGATCTAGAAGCAAATATTTCAATACACTTCTTTCAGAAAAACTCCATGTTTTTCTAAAACTATTACATTCTGAATTTCTTCTTCACACTTATTTCAAGTGTCTGTAATAAAGCTAAGACAAAAAGGATATGTGTGGGATATTTTGTACAAATAAAATAAAATGTATATTTCTGAATATTGGTTTAAATGAATGAGAGCTGCTATTGAAGACACCAACGAAATGTAAATTTTAAGACTCGGCAGTCTCTGCATAGTTTCATTTTGACCCTACTGTCTAACATAGGACAATGGTTCCTGCTATCATCCATCTCCCCCGTCCTGGTGATACTCCACTGATTTCCCTCTGGCAACTGACCCTTTCTCTTTGAGCCTCCTCTTTTGGTCTCTCGTTAGCAGAAGACCATCCCTCTATGACTGTAAATAAGGTGCTTTTCACAGTTCCCATATTTCTCTCAATACACCTCTTCCCCAGGCAATTTTCTCATTTATGAGCAATAACTCAAAAGCTACAATTATAACTCCATCCCAAAACTATCTCTCTTGTTTCAAATTTAAAGTTCTCAATTTTTTGAAGAGCAAATAAAAAGACTGTCTCGCTGTGTATTAAACTGATCCATTTGTCCCATCTGCCAAAAATGTTACCAGATTCCCTTCCAAACTTGTTCTTCAATCCTCTATATTCTGTCCAGTCAAGTCAACAGCTATGAATCTAGTACCCCATGCCTGACACTGTTTACAGCTTTCCTGCTATGAAAGATGAGTAACAGCTAAAAATACCCAGGAAGGGTTGAGATGTATTCTCCTATCACTACTACCCTGCTCATTCCAGACTCAGCTTTCTGGGGAAAGCATTTCCAGTAACCTCCTCCTTCTCACTGTATTTTATGATGGTCCTTGCACTCCCAACACACACCACACCAGACTGCAAAAGTGCACAAAATGGTCAAGAATCTGATCTCTTAGTTACACTTCCCAGTTTACTGACTCTTAATTTTTATAGCTGCATGGCCCAGAGCCAGTTATTGAACCTTGTAAGCCATGGATTTCCTCTTTAGAAAGAGTTGATGCCCATAGAACACATTTCATAAGGCTATTGGGAGAATTAAATTAGATAATTCAGATAATGAGTTTAGAATTTTTGGCACACAGCTCTACAAATGTCAGTAAATGTTATTATTATTAAACTTCTTGAGAGAAAAACTAGATTTTTGTAGCTTTGTCCACAAGGCACTGAGCCATGATCCCTTAACGTCTATTGATGAAGACGACAACACTTATTTGTGTACTAAAGTTTTGTACTTATTTGTTCACAATATAGTTTAGTTGTGGGAACTAATAGAACCTTAAAAGAAAGTTATACAATGTGTCATACATCTTCTTTCTAAGTCATTTGCTTTGAGGGGCTAGGGATTTAGCTCAGTGGTTCCACCTCCTGCCTTGTAAGCACAAGGACCCAAGTTTGATCCCTGGTACCCCCCAAAAAAGTCATTTGCTTTGTTTTTTTGTCCCATGATATCCTCCAACCCCAGAGATTTTAGTGATGAATATTACCTCATTATTTTACAAGTCAGTAATTAGCAATAACTTCCTTATAATCAATTC